CACCGCCGCGGAGGCGGCGGTGGGGGGGGCCCGGGAGAGGGAGCGCCTGTGGGTGGGTTTCCAAAGGGAAAAACCCCCTAAAAAAGTCTAATTTCTCTCCGCAAAAGGGAAGTGTTGTGGGAATGAGGGGTTATAGGTACCCACAGCTCACCAAAGGTGCTGATGCTAACGGCAGTTCGGTGGTGGATTCCTTTCTTCCAGACAGCTCGGTAACATCAACGCGGCACAGCTGTTTAGGACAGAAAGGGAAAATTATTTCTGCAGAAAGAACGTTTTCTCTTGGCCAGAAGTAATAAAAAGAGCGAAATCAGTTCACAACCTGCTTTACTGTATGTTGGCATATAATACATTACCTATTTGAGGACCTGGTATCAGGTATGTTCCACACCAGCAATTCCCAAAAGACAAAATGACCCTAAAGTTTTATTGCTGTTGCATTACTCAGTGATTTCAGTCCACTTGTGGAATATAAAAGTGCAGATAAACACTATTACATTGCTATATTTTTGATTATTAAAGTAATACTGATATAAATCAATATACTGGTATAGAGGAATTCCATACAGCCAGTACTCCCAGCAGGTACGGATACCCAGTCATCCGAGAACAGGAGCCTAGTTAGCATGTTAATTGCTTTCAGCTGGGAAAGTGGAGATTCTCCACTTGTCTTACAACAATAAATTCCTGCAGCCAACATTGGTTGAAAACATGCACCATTACATCACAACAGAGGTGGGTATTTTTTTTCTTGCTCTCATATTTAGAGAAACTGTTTTAAACTAGCTGCTGAAGGCTGGTTTTTGAGTTACAAAAAACATTTTCTTAAAATAAGATGCTAATAAAAAGCGTTAACCACTTTCCTTTTGTACTTATTTACTATCTACGTCACGAACGTACCCGCTGATGAGAAGGCTCAGGGGGACCTTCTTTACCTCAAGGGTGGTCAAAGCCTGGGCCAGGTCTCCCAGAGAGGTCTCCAAATCTCCATCTGTGGAGATGCTGGGAACCACCTGGGCACCAGCAGCTCCTCGGTTCTACAGTCTTACAGCATGTAACACACCTTGTGAGCTTCAGACCATGCCTGCCAGGGGGTTGGGTGGGGTATCTTGGCAGCCAAATGAGTTTCTTTACTGATTTCATACATCTGGTGCTAGCAGTCTCAGAGGCAGCTTCATCAGCTAGCCTTGGTCAGCACTGCTCCACTCATCCTCAAAAGTTACAGCAGAGCTGGAAGACCTACTCTCCTTTGTTTTGACCCTTGTTAACAGAAAACCTACATGATAAAACATAGCTTATTTTTAAGGCCTATGTTTCTACAACCACTTCTGGTGAAAGCATTAGCCCCAGAACAGGAAGGCTGAGGGCAGGTTCTCCTCCATGTTCCTGAGGGGAAAAATGGCATCCAGCCCTTTTCCAGGATCCACAGCGACTTCCAGCCGAGCTTCCCACCCCTTCGCTCGCCAGCCAGGCTTCACCCGCTCTTCTCATTCTTATCCTCCTCAGCCCCCTTCAGCCCCAGACCAAGATGGCGCACCTCCCACAACTCCCCGCGCCTGCCCCTAACTAAAATGGCTGACGGCGTGGCGGCGGCCCCACCCCTCTGCCCTCTCCCAAAATGGCGGCGCCCACTCACCACGCCCCGCCCCGCCCTCAAGATGTCCGCTGCTG